TTTTCGCACGGTGACACTGGGGGAGGGAAACACGAGGAAATTAAGACGTGAAGAGAGAGACCGTGCCGTCTTAGACCATTTACTTGAAACGAAGGCATGGAAAGTGGGTATTAACTGCCACCCAAAGCCATCGGCCAGCTGTATAACCAGAGGGAGCCAATCAAATTTCAGAGGATGCAAGCACAATTTTCAAAAACATGCCGGGGAAAAAAAAAGGACGGTTATCAGCACCTTGCACAACTGCTTGGAGTAAAAGGATAATTGCAATGTGAAGAGCAGAATCGCTTCCATTCCCATCAATATGAAAGCAGCTTTAAACTAACACGAGGGATGTGTTTTTGTCAGATACAGCCCGAAAAGGTTGGTCTTTCTAACAGGTGATAAACAATCCCTTCCCCACTTCTTTGTGGACACTGAAGACAATTATACTGCTAATTAGCATCTGAAGAGTGGAAGTTACAGTAGAAGCTTCACCGATGACCTATAGTGGAAAATATTATTTAACTTGGCGAAAAAGGATCAAGCCAACACAGAGGAGAGATGATACATTTACTCTGATTACTGTGGAAATTAGTGTGAAATATAGTTATTCTGGATAAACAGGGGCACAGTCATGACTGTATTGTTGTCCTTAGATGATTTCATGTTGAGATGAATTTAAGAGCAGGAAGGAGAGAGGGAGGGAGGGCAGAGGCACCAGGCTGTGATGGGTTCTGCCCCACGGTGGGTAGAGACTTACACCCCCCTGGCACATCCCAAGGGTGGTTCTGCACAGTCACGCTGTGCCTTCAATGGCATAAAAATGCAGGAAAGCCTTTTTCATGAGCCAACAGTTTTTTTTTTTTTTTTTTTTTGATTTTCAGATAAAATGATTCAAGCTGCTTGACTCGCATACCTAATTAGGAAAAATTCCCTGAAAACCTGGAATTGGGGGCTGCCTGTTGACAAGCAGAAATGTGGAGTGTGCCTTCCCTGCTGGGCACACCGGCCATTAAGCATCCCATAATGAGTCCGTCTGAGATGTTGCGACCCTTTCGAGTGCCGAGGGTAGCTAAGCAGCATCGTGAAATTGTTTATTCGCTCAGCAGGATACTGTTAAAATCTAACATTATTTCTGAAGCTTGTGATCCGGAACCTTTATCGCACCTGTATGGTTAGATATTAAATGCAAACCAATAGTCGAAACAAGGGCTGTCTTGCGTAAGGACTTGAGAAAAGTGCATATATGTACTAGTGATCCTTTAGATTCACGATTCAACGATGTCTGGATGGCGTGGGGATCGGGCAAGCTGAAGAACGGGACCTAACCACTAAAGTCCACAGCTGCCAGCTAGATGCTATCAATCCCCGACTCATCGCTGTGGCCCTGAGGTCGCTGTGACTCTGTGACATTTCCCCCCTGGAGCCTATTGCACTCTGCAGGCTCTTACTGGGATATACTGCAGTAAGCTGGTCTAGATGACTGCATCTCCTTGGGGTTATATTCCCCATCTGGTTCACGTTTTGGGGTTTTTAAGCTCCCGTCTCTCAAGCTGGGACAATGGGCCTCCCTCTTCCTGTTACCGTAGTTACACACCGCATCAAATCACGAGCCAGAGTATTAACACATCCCTCTATGCCTTCATGGTGTTCCGTCGCATGTAAATAGTATGCTATGGTAATGATTGCTCTTTCAAGAAAGATCAGGTTACATCAGTGGAATTACCAAAGTCTTACAAAATGTGTATATTGACACATACCGAAGTTCATTGCACGTGTCTCTACAGATGAGCCAGAATTAATGATTCTACCGCTTAATTGTATTCCCTCTGGGTTTAATTAATGGGAAAGGTGGTTCGAACTCACAGAAAAATGGTGTGAGAAGCATTTTAGTTATGGCAGTGAGCTGAACTGTGTGACATCAACAGAAGTCAGGATGGACGGGTTAAGTTGAGGTTAGGCTCATGCGGGGCTTAATGGAGAGGAGAAAGCATGGAAGATATCACTCTATAATGTCAGACACGGCTGAAGGAATCAGCGCAAGCATCCCTGGTCACCTGACTCTCTCCCTTCATGTTTTCATAGCCAGTCTGCTTTGGTGGATTAAATGCAATGATTCCTCTTGGGGAGAAATCAAAATGGAAACAGACCAGGTGCCTTGAGTAGGTTGGTATGTCTGGAGAGTGCTGCTGTCCGACCAGAAACGAGGACTTCTACCAGTAATCAACAAACTAACAAATGTAAACTGCAATTATGCAGGGTGCCTGTGATCAGGAAATCTGCAATAAAAAAGTGAGAAACTCACTGAGCCAGAACCTGTAGGCTGTGACCACGGATCATCTGTTGGAAGACGGGAGGCTCTGACATGGCCTGAGATGACGCAGGAAGGGGAGCGAGATGGGGGTGCAGTGCAGCCTGGAAGCACATAGGACATTCAAGTGACGCGTTTCCATCAAGTGCGGGGTGTAGGGCAGAACTGTCCCTTTATAGTGATTCATCAATAATGTGGCCAATATAGCTGTGAAAATAAAGCGATTCATGGGCAGGACGGGGAGAATCACACAAGGACGCGTTAATGTTAGGCCTGTGTATTAAGCTGGAGAAATAAGGAGAATCTGAGGTTTACCCAAGAATTAAACCTCAGTGTGTTAAACCCCCTGTCTGACCAGAACGAGCAGCTGGAAGGAGAATGGAAACTTCAACAGGTACATCCACATTGGAAACATTGTCCCCGTGACACGGTCTTTTCATTGCTGAAGATCCATCCCCTTTGTTCTTCTGCAGACCATTAAATTGTACTCATGTCGTTCACCAGATTTAAAGGTCTTTGTATGCCGAGTGTTAATGCGTGCATTGCTACAGCGATCCTTAGCAGCAAGGCCGTGGTAAGCAATTAACAGCATCTGATGGCTGAATTAAATGCTGAACAGAACTCTTTTATTTACACGTGTTTACTTTAGTGGGACTAATCACATTGCTGGATTTGAGAAGCTTTCCTCTGATGACCGCAGAGGGACTTGCTGACAAGGCAGATCCTGTGTACGGTGCAGAGCCGAGCAAAGCGCCACAGCACGCGTGCCACCGCATTTAAATCTCAGAAGAAAACACGGTGAGAAAATTGCCTTGCAGCTCTTTTCAAAGGGTCAGTGGTCTAACTGCCATTTTACCAATTTCATGATCCCCTGCTGTTAGCGAGATGCATGCCGTGGTGTTAACAGGCATTATCAGTTGTAATGTACTCGGGAAGGTTTACAATTTAACTGGTGTTCAAGGTCGTATGAAAAAGAGCAATGACTGATCCAGGGATGGCAGGAGTGGTGGACAGGCCACATTAACAGGTACATCTAAAGGCAAACGGGATAAGGACTTATAAGAAGGTGTAGGACCTGAGGGTTTGAAGGTCCTGCACGTTGTCTGTGAGACCGCGTCACACGGCTGCCCTGGCGATTTCCTGCGAGTGCCTTGGCACAGCAGTGGAGCTATTTTGGGGACTCAGGAAGTGTAGCGTCTCAGACGTACATCAGAGCCAAATGAAGTCAACAGAAGCTCAGCTGCTCGTTCAGCACGCCAACAGATACGTACACAAGCTCCTCTATAAACAGTCGGAGAGACATGGATTCATGTTAAACAAGACTGCATGCTCAAAAGCAAGCAGACAGCATGTGCATATTCATTAAGACAGATTTCGGGCTTAGTGTCGGACACAGCAGAGTCTGAATTTAGCATCGCCTTCAAGCTCAAATCTTCAGTGAGTGGATCACTCAGTGTGAAGGGTCTCCAGAGCTTTTAATCTCTTTCCATGTCCTGATGAGGGCTATTTTCTTCCCACGAGCCCTTTCTTCTCAAGCCCTTATCGTCAAGAATGGTGTGTTATCGAGGCCAGGAATGACCGCGGGGCATCCAACGCAGATGCGGAACGTGAGATACAGAGCTATTTGGAAGAAGCACTCGGAGGAGTTTTCACCTTCGCGAACACGAACGTGAACACAGGCAGCGCGTGCTGGCAGCTCTACGGTCAGCAATCCCACGCAGGCCCAAACGACAAGCTCCCCGTTTTCCCGGCCAGTGGAAAAATCCAATGTCATATGACATTTTCGAAGCCTTGAGCCTGTTAGGACTTTACAATCTTGTCTGTATCCATAAAGGGGCCGTCGCCAGCACAGTGACTTGGCACATTCTAGAATCTGGCTTCTGTAGTTTCTGCAGCTCCTCAGAGTTACACTTCAGCTACACACCCAACTGTTTTTACTTGCATACAGTCAGAGGTGTGACTGTGACGGGCTCAGACTGTGAAGCTGAGAGATTTCAGTCTGTCCGCAGGGGGAGACTGAGGATTGTATTTCTGCAGTCCCACAGAAGCACAGAGCTCTGAGGCACTCACAGAAGACCACCATGACGACTCCACAGACTGTACTATACTCACAAGCCAGATGTGCCTTTTTTCAAGCTACAGAAATATTTACTGTTTAATGATCAAGAAGGTCATCCTGGGGAGGAAAAGAAAACATAAAATTTGCTTCCAAAATGGCAAAGTTATTAGTGTAAGAGGCTAAGAGGGACACTGAGGGTCTGAGCCACAGCCTGCTATATGAGGCTCCCCGTAAGTCTGTCTGTGCTGAGCCACAGGCTATATGAGGCTCCCCGTAAATCTGCCTGTGCTGAGCCACAGCCTGCTATATGAGGCTCCCCGTAAGTCTGTCTGTGCTGAGCCACAGCCTGCTATATGAGGCTCCCTGTAAGTCTGTCGGTGCTGAGCCACATCCCAACAACTCTGAAAATGAACCTGGAGGCTCTGGTTATGATAGAAAGCATTGTTTTTTTGGCTGTCACAGTCTTTTTACACAAGGGGTACAGTTAATATTTGCAAAAGATAAAATAACAAAAAAGAACAGCCTAATGATATCAGTTTCATAGGAAATGAATACTTTTATATAGAAATACTGGAAATAAATTTGTATGGATGATTAAGAGATAAATTCATTACTCAAAATAACATTTAAAAACACTGCGGTACACTGTAATTGTTTATTCATGATTTAATTTTTTTTAGAGATTTCCAGAACAGCTAATATATTCTTTATATGACATTATCTTATTATACTGAGAGATTTCCTAATTAGCTAATATATTCTTCAGAGTAAAAACACGCCTATCTGGAATATTCGTGGGTAAATTTACATTTCTAGATTAGTGCTTGAATTAAAAAGGGTGGGCTGTATGAAATATCATCCATTAGGCCTATTTATTATGCAAAAAAACAATACAAACAAACACAGTCTTTGGAAGTCGTGTCAGTGTACCTTTTAATTTTCACCGCAGGAAGTAATTGGTAACCCAGAACTACAACTGTCTGGTTCATGAGGGAGGGAGAGACAATGCAAATGAACAATTGTGCCATGTCTTTGTCTGCCAAGTCAGAAGCGTTGCCACTGTGGGTATTTAAGTAATTATTCAGCAGCGAGGGCCTCCAGGGACTCATTTTCAGCTAAAACAAGAAGAAAACGGCCCAAACAAACCTTGTTTGTTCATAATTGATCCACGGAGAAGCTTTCATAGACCGAAAAAATTACGTAAATTAAACAGCAGTAATCTTGAGTTCCATTAACTTTTGTCCTTGATGATAATTAACCACTTTGTTACACACAGAGCGACGGCACAGAAACAAAGACGGACGCGGTCACACTGGGAGTACGGTGGGCCGTCTCTGGCTGAAGGAGAAGCCAACAAAAGGGCAGTTGATTCTGAATAGTCTCCCGTCCCCCTCGCTCACAGCCATCGGGGGGTGACGGCGAGGGCCGCGTTGAAGGTGACCAAGCCCGGGTGTGTCCCTCGGTGAACCAGAAGCAGGGACCCCGCCTCGCTGATGTGGCCGGCAGCTACCATCCCGCGGGCCGCGGCCTCCACGTCCCAGCCGTTCTCCCTGTGGTGCGTCAGGAGATGGTCGACCAGGTGCGGGTACAGGGCGCTCCCAAAGCACTCGGTCAGCAGGTCAGCGTCCAGCAGCAGCGACAGCAGCTCGGGGTCGCAGCTCGACTCATTCACCTGAAAGAAGCAGAGCCAGTGAGACGGCTCCTGACACCAGCTGAAAGCTGATTGGCCCCCGGAGTGCCCCCTTACCTGTCACTGACCAATTCAAAACATATCATTGGCTAATGAGAAAGTCAACCCAACTGTATGAATTATGGCCCCCTCTTTATGCCTCCCAGCTTAAAAAAAAATAAAATAAAATAATTTAAAAATCGTAAAATTGTCCATGATCATGGTGTCGCTCCTTTGGCCACTCCGAAACTTCACTCCAGCTTAACAGTAAGGCAGTACATAAGGTAAGCCACAACACTATGACATCATGCGATATCCCTCTGCGTCATTCAGAGGCACCTGATGGCACTCTGCATCACTTGGCGCGACCTGAACGACCTTGGCGAGGCTTGGAATCATACATGGTCGATGTGATTTGCCTCCAGCGGGCAATGGGTCATTCTTCAGACTTCTACTTGGGTTCTTTACTTGGTGACTGACCGGGCGAAAGCACTCGAGACTATTTACCGACAATCTGGTTGCGAGCCGGGACAGCATTTCTGACCCTTACCATGTCCCCCGGGTAACACGAGGACCTGCCCAGGCTTGCAGTTATTTTGTGATGACTTTCTTTTCAACATAAATTATCTGGTTGAATGCTCAGAAGCCTCTACCTCAGCAGCTGGAAGCCCTGCAATAATGAATCGTGCTAAATTTGATCAATGTGTGTCAGTGGTAGGGGGGCTGATGCAATCTAGGTAGGAAAAACAGACCAGCAGCCAGCAAGGAAATCTCAAAAACAAATCACTTAGAGAAAAACTGCTCTGTTTGGAAATTTAACAGCAATAACACATTAATATAGAGAGCAACCAGCAAATCTGAAATATGATACTTCTCTGTATTTATCCATCCTGCCATTTCTCCATTCCCGCTTGTCCTATGCAGGGTTGCGGGGGGACCGCAGCCTAACCTGGAAGCAGCGTTCACAAGGCGGGGAATAGCCCAGGATGGGGCGCCAGCCCATCGCAGTCCTCAGTATTTATATCCATCCGTTTTGCATCAATGCTACATGGTTGCTGTGAGCCTGGATCCCGTCCCAGGAAACACAGGGCACGGTGGAGGGGACACCCCTGATGGGCCGCCAGTCCATCGCGTGGCACAGCCTGACACACAGCGTCACGCATTATGTTCGATTTAGGGACGCCAGCTCACCTGAGCTGAAGCTACCACTCCACCCTGAAAACATACCGCACGGAATTGTAAAGAAAGAAACTTAACAGGTAGATAAACGTCATACGCCGAAATGGAAACGAACATCGCTTTTAGATCCACTCCTGCATATGATATATATACACTCACCTAAAGGATTATTAGGAACACCTGTTCAATTTCTCATTAATGCAATTATCTAATCAACCAATCACATGGCAGTTGCTTCAATGCATTTAGGGTAGTGGTCCTGGTCAAGACAATCTCCTGAACTCCAAACTGAATGTCAGAATGGGAAAGAAAGGTGATTTAAGCAATTTTGAGCGTGGCATGGTTGTTGGTGCCAGACGGGCCGGTCTGAGTATTTCACAATCTGCTCAGTTACTGGGATTTTCACACACAACCATTTCTAGGGTTTACAAAAAATGGTGTGCAAAGGGAAAAACATCCAGTATGCGGCAGTCCTGTGGGCGAAAATGCCTTGTTGATGCTAGAGGTCAGAGGAGAATGGGCCGACTGATTCAAGCTGATAGAAGAGCAACTTTGACTGAAATAACCACTCGTTACAACCGAGGTATGCAGCAAAGCATTTGTGAAGCCACAACACGCACAACCTTGAGGCGGATGGGCTACAACAGCAGAAGACCCCACCGGGTACCACTCATCTCCTCTACAAATAGGAAAAAGAGGCTACAATTTGCACGAGCTCACCAAAATTGGACAGTTGAAGATTTCTGTTGAGACATTCAAATGGTAGAGTCAGAATTTGGCGTAAACAGAATGAGAACATGGATCCATCATGCCTTGTTACCACTGTGCAGGCTGGTGGTGGTGGTGTAATGGTGTGGGGGATGTTTTCTTGGCACACTTTAGGCCCCTTAGTGCCAATTGGGCATCGTTTAAATGCCACGGCCTACCTGAGCATTGTTTCTGACCATGTCCATCCCTTTATGACCACCATGTACCCATCCTCTGATGGCTACTTCAAGCAGGATAATGCACCATGTCACAAAGCTCGAATCATTTCAAATTGGTTTCTTGAACATGACAATGAGTTCACTGTACTAAAATGGCCCCCACAGTCACCAGATCTCAACCCAATAGAGCATCTTTGGGATGTGGTGGAACGGGAGCTTCGTGCCCTGGATGTGCATCCCATAAATCTCCATCAACTGCAAGATGCTATCCTATCAATATGGGCCAACATTTCTAAAGAATGCTTTCAGCACCTTGTTGAATCAATGCCACGTAGAATTAAGGCAGTTCTGAAGGCGAAAGGGGGTCAAACACCGTATTAGTATGGTGTTCCTAATAATCCTTTAGGTGAGTGTATATTCCACTGTAACTCACTGTACCCACTGTACTCAAACGGTTCAGTGTACAGTGAGGGTCTAACAAAACCACAAAATATCATAGGTACAGGCAACATGGGGTTAGCAAAACAATCACTGAGCCTCCGCTACACATGCTGCAGACGGCGGCTTTAGATTGAAGGCAGGGGGCTCAGGGTCACCGCTTGTGATTTCACACTTTGACTTGTGGATACTGGCTGATGTGACTCCCAGGGGCGGAAGAGCAGTCATGTTACGAGGGTTTAATCCTGCCGACCGCTGCTTCTGCCTCCGATCCCTTAACCCTTACAAACACGTGTTTGCTGTGATAGATTTGGGCCGTGTGACTGACGGACAGAATCAACTGGAAAAACAACGTGAAGAGCTGCCTGAGGGAGCCATTAGCATGTGCTTTGTCAACATTTCAGTGATGCGACGCGTCTCCCCTTCGAGGATTAGTGAGAGGATGTGGAAAAAATGAAAACGTAAGAACAATTCAGATGCCTCAATAATGACTCAGGCCCAGATGACTTAGGAAAAAAGCAGAATCCTCAGCTGCTTAATGGATACATCGCATTCTGTATCTGTCTTCAGGAATCTTTGTGCTCCTCATATTGGCGTGCAGATACGCACACTTACGGTCACCTGGGTTTTCAATTTAATCTGGCCGGGTCTACGGTGTGTTGGTGGGGATCATGGCAGGAGAAGAGGCGCCTTTCATCAGCTATTAACACCAAATTAACAAAACTCACAACGTTTCTTCCCTCTCCTCACATATCCTGCAGGTCTTAATTTGAAACCTGGATTTTCCTTTTACGCTAGAAAGCTACTCACCCCTGGCTCTGGAAGTGGAGATCACACAGGATTCTTCTGGGTATTCAACACTCCTCCCATGCTCTAAAAACATGTGCATTAATGGAACTGGTATTTCTAAAAATTCCATAATGTGAGTTTGTGCAAGTGTGTGTTGTATGATGGACTGGCATCCCGTCCAGGGTGTACTCCCTACGGGATAGACTCCCTACTGCACCCCCCCCCCCCTCCGTGACCCTGATCAGGGACCAGAAATAGGGGTTAGAAGAATAAGAATGTTCGGATGGCACACAGTAATCAAACAAACCCCACTGCCTGCCAGCAGCTGAAAACGCCAAACGGGAACAGAGTTTTCAAACAGGAGCCGTGCTTTGGGAAAGTGCCTTAAACACACAGAGACGCACACAAAGGCGGGTCACGGTAACTTTGGCAGAGCGCGTTGTCAGGGCCCCAGAATGAAAGGCATCAATAATGAATGAAAGCAGTACGCCCCGGCTGAAAGCGGCGTTTAAGACACGCCACAACGCCTTAGATGCCACTTATTGCGGAGTGCATGCGCGCCATTCCTGCAAATGTCATATTCCAGCCCCCCCATTCTGGATTACAGCCAAGCACGCTGAACAGCTACACAGCGCTCTTGGGTAATTCCACATAAAGCGGGAGCGTCTTGTCATCGGATTTACAGGCCGCATTCGTACACTATCAATATGATGGGTTTTTTTTTTGTGTACATGAATAAAACAAAAGTTAACAGGGAGCGAATAACTAGCTCTCGTTATTCTGAGCGCCGCGTCGACGGGGAACGTGGGACGAGGGGCGGGGAAGCTGGCGGGAAGGGCGGCGAGTCCATTTTCCCGGCAAATAAAAGGGGCCCCCGCCGTCACGGAGCCGCCGGTCGCTGTGAAATCAGGCCGTATTTCAGGAGCGCTCCCCACCCCGGTCTCACCTTTCGGGGAACGCGCCGAGTTCCGGCGGCACAGAGTCCTCGTTTCCCGCCACCACGGTCTGGGGAACCGGCCGCCCCCCTACCCCAAGCTCCTGTAAAATGCCCCAATTTTGTTGACAACATACCAGAGGGTAGGCCGGGCGAAGACTGAAGAAATAAAGCTCTGCTTAGCCGACTGTGAAGGGAAGCCGGACAGGCGAAATTACACGCTCCCTCCGTACGCCCAAAAGCCTCAGATCGGAAGACAAATAAAACCGAAAACATAAAATTTCATTTGGGCTTCTTATCTATCAGAGATTCGTACACATGCTGGGGCTACGTCCATTGCGCGAACGCAGGTTTATAACACACGTTCACACTGGCAGGAGGCTGACAGCCGAACTGCTACCTGAACCTCAAACGGCTCACAGAACCGAGAGCCGTGAAAAGCAGCTCGACTGCGCAAAAGATGAGGGACGACAATACTCACGGTGCATCCGGAGGCATTGAAAATCACATAAAGTTATTTCCCATTACACCGCATGTGGCTGCTTTCTGGCCAACCGTATTCAGAAAGGATGCACACACACACATATATATACTTTTTAAAGTTGCGACAATGAAATTAATTTTAACTGCTTGAAGTCAGAAGTCAGTTAAGTCAGTAACACCTAATTCATTAAAATGTGCATGTTCTTATCTCGTTTCCAGATGACGACTTATAGAATTTTCTAGGCGGTCAACTTTTTCATAACACCAAAAAAGGATGAGCAGATACCAAAATAAATTAAAGAGAGACTTTCCTTCAATGTATGACGATAAAGGAGCTATTGTACAACTTTAAATCACACTGAGCACCAGTTTTCATGCCATCAGACTGCAGTGCTTTTCAGACGACTCTGTTCACCTTCACGGTCACAGTTCATGAAGCATAATTTCCTTTAGAAACACAGAAAATCCCCAGGTGACGAATCCACATTTAAACTGCTGGATGGAGCTGCCCTTTAAGTGCACAGCGGTAAGATGTATTAGTGTGACATTCGTCAGCAGCGAGTAATTAGCGCCGATCTGCACTTAGGCAGAATGGGTAAACATCCTAATTGGGGATGTCGAGGCTCGGAGGCGAAGCCCGAACGGGCTTCCGCTCATGGCGACTTCCGAGGCAGCCCACCCGCCGCGAGATCTGCACGGAATAAGGCTTTCGAAGACATCTTATGCCAACCAGCATAACCGAGCCGTGACACACGACTACGCTGAGTATTAGTGATGGTGGATCGATGTGATTGACAGAAGGCTCGACCTCTGGAGAGCAGCACCGACATCAGGCTTGGACGCCCCCCTAGGGCCTTCAGATTCTGGCCGGACAGCACACCAGATTGCTGGCTTCTCACCCTAAAACAGCTGAAGAGAAAACTCTAGGGAGCCACCGGCTAAGTAACCCGAGGTTAAAAGACTAGCCTATAAGCTCAACTCGCATATATGCTCAATTCCTTTTTCCCTTAAGCTTATAGTAATAGTGCATGGGCAATTTAGCTAACCTGTTAGCAGTAATGCTAATTCCTTCCATTCTATACTTTCTACATTAAGTATTATTTTATAATGAATTGTTCATACTTTATTATTACTATATTTATTATTTCTCATTTTATTCATTTATATAGCACATAGGGACAGTAATTCTACAATACTGTAAACAGAGGAGTTAGAAATGTTTATGAATAATGCATTTTATTAAAATGCTCTGTACACAGCGTAATGTGGGATTTCATGACAGACAATCTAATTCACTCTTTCTGTGCAGTCCAAATCCTGGACACCAGAACTAAAAATTCACTCCAAGCTCAGTCCAAGATGGCAAGATTTAGACTGAATTAACAAACAATCTATAGGGAATGAGTCAAACATTCTTCACACAACAGAAAGTATCAGTGCTACTTAATACTGTTTAATATTTTGTGAACGGCAGTGGGAATGGAAGGAGTGCGATTAACTATTCATGATGAAGCCGTCCATGAATTCAGGAGCACATGACTGGAATCGGTGCGTACAGGAGGCGATAAATTATTCATGGGCCTCTTTCCTTTATCATTTAAATCGTAAAGCTCTCAGGAACACTAAAGGCAGCCGCATTCCACCCCGGCGCCACTATCGCTACGACACCCGGACGACCGACAGCGGGACACCAAACCGCTCGGTTTCGGCACGGAGGGGAGATGCCGGGTTTCCGGGAGGCTGCCACAATGCATCTCACCAGCGGGTTCCAGAAATGTGGCGCCCCGTTGCAGCTGCACTGAGCGGGAAATATCGGGCCCGACCAGATTTTAATCACCTTTTCCCGTCAAACGGCTGCAGCTTTAGTAAATCTCCTCCCAACAGCAAAGCGCAGCCCTGTTATAAAACACCTTAATGTTTCTATCCGATATTTTTTATGCAAGTTTCCACAAAATTTCTTAAAATTTGACTTCAGCACTGCAATACCGAAGGCTATGAAAATCCCGTGGTCGGCAGGGTGATGTCACCAGTGGGCCATTGAAATCAGACCCTTGTCCCCCAAATGCTCCAGGGACAGGCTGCCCCTATTACCTCACTTTTAAGTCACTTTGAATAAAAGCACCTGATAAATAAATAAATGTGCTTTAAATGCAAAAGCCCTGGAACAAACGCGATGTGGTAAACAAACCAAGATTACATTACAGGGATTTAAGTCACCAAATATAATGGATGGGCCAACAGTAGAAGTGAATTTTGGGGTCTTCTTAGCGCGCTGCTGTAAAGCCTTCAGTGCACACAAATGTAAGCCGAAGCCTCACTGTTGCAAAAGCCCTTGCGTTGCTTGGCTTCATGTCCCCGATTCCTGCGAGTCGACTGTTCACCAAGTACACGCACGCAGCAGGTGAAGACACAAGCATCGCCAGGGCTGCCAAAAACGGAGCAGATTGCAGCTGAAGGGATGGACCCCGAGCAACTTAAGCCCGATAAAGTGTAACCGCGGCAGGCTATGGGTATTAAGCACTTTGTAACATTCTTTCAGCTACAGAGACAAATGACTTAAAACTTAGCCAGTCATGAGGTCTACTGGGACGGGTCACATCAGGGTGAGACCAATTTCATATCACTCCATCTGTTGGGTAATACTTATTTTAGCCTCGGCCCCCAGGAGATCAAATGTGAGACTGCGGTATTTTCACTCCCGTCAGCGAAAATGTTCTTCTGCATATAATTTAGCGGCTTCGAACAAATGATTCAACATAAAAAAAAATCTGCCTTTTAAAGATTAGCCAAAATTCTATTTTGTAAAACTGTGCACACAAATCGCAAACAAAATGTGCGTGAGCAATACAATAGGCTAGCTAATTCTAGAGACAGTGAATATTTTTAGATATTTGTTCCCCATTTGATGAAAAATGTGTCTGGGTGATTCAGCCCTGCCAGTCTGTAAACAATCATCCCCTAGTCATGAGTGTCATAAAGGAAAAAAAAGTTTGAAGGTTTGAAAGACACAGAGTATATTTTATTGATGAATTCTTGTTCTAATGCTATCTAATTAACAGAGTGAGGCTATGACGATCACGAAGGAGCCCCTACGCGGCTGCAGGCTGACAGCCTATCAGCACGGCTCGATCCCCCCTGCCCCCACCCCTGCGGTATTGACATTTTGACATGTGCCAGTTGAGTCACGGCTGATGTCTGAGCGGACGTCGTGTTAAACGCGTCCCATTCTTACTTTCTGCGGTGACAAGAATAAAACACTATGTCAATTTCCAAGAAAGGTACTTTTTAAAATGTATAGTTTAAAATCCAAACAAAGGCATGTCAAATGTTACAGAGACAGAGCAATGATGTTAAGAGCAGTGATGATAATGGTCTGTTCCATCTGTCCCTGTTCAGTACTGATGGTAAAAACACCACAACTTAAAACAAATTGAAACAAATTAATCGATCCACTATGACAAGCAATTTAAAGGAATTGCTCTCTGACAGGTTAAACCTCTGATTTCAGCATTCTTCCGTTCATTTAATAGCAAAGCTCTGTGATTAAAAACAGAAACAATCTCTCAGTAATACCTTACAGAAAACAAATAAAGACGGGCCTTGTGTCGCTCTGTGGGTTAGGAGTCTGTGTCCATGAGCGGTAGGTTGCTGGTTCAAATCCCGCGGCTGGCAGAATGATTTCGCTGTTGGGCTTCTGAGCAAGACCCTTAACCCCCATAAGCTCCAAGGACCGGCTGGCCCTGCTTTCTCAAACACGCACATTGCTTCGGATAAAGGCATCTGCCAAAAATATAATGAATGCAGAAACAAAACCCACGCATCCGTCAGCGGGACACCCTGGACGTGTGATTAGACACGGGAAATAATCTAAACTCATGCGGCTCCCACTAACACCCCTCGCTGAGCTCTGATTTCCTCGCGCGATACATTAGTTTAATCGGGCGTGATCTTAGCGTCGGCTAAGTTCAAAGTCGTTCTGTGGCGACGAGGAGGATGAGGCTCCTGTTGCTTGCGTCACGCTGGCCGGGATCCTCGAGGCGGCCCGGCGATGAGAGATTCGATGGAGGATCGTCCCTCAGAGTCAGGCGCGAGATAAAAGCGTGCCGATAAGCCGCGCGGCTGATTGATGCAGGCCTGCTCACCTCGGTGATGCCGGCTACCTGCTCCAGTGCCAGCTTCTGCAGCTGCGCGTCACGACTCTCCGTCAGGAGCTTCAGGGCCGGGAGGAGGCAGCCGGGACCATCCTGGATCAGGGCTGATATCCTGCGTATGCACTGGGTGGGGGAGATGGGAGACAGTCAGCCAAGATGGATGGGAGCGTGAGCAGCACAGGCCCCCATAACGGGGGACACTGAGCGGATGCCCTTGGGTGGCCATGATACCTTTGGTTTACATCCAGTCAGCTAACCCCCACCTGCTCTCAGAGTCACGGGTGGCAAACCAAGTGCTTGTACTAATAAATAATTCAAATAAATAATGTAATATGAGGTAATGTAACCGGGTCAATGTTTGTGACAGTTGCACCCCCTCCCCCCACAAAGACACGCTTGTGTGACCCGACCTGAATCCTGAATGGACCCCCTTTAATCGGGATTCAGGGCTGGCTGTGTAGCCACACGTTTGTCCCACACCTGGCCCATCTGCTGAGACTGGCCTGTGACCCTCGCCCTCCCCATGCTGGCGTGACCCATGGGGGGGGGGGCACTTGTGAGGAGCCAGCTAGGACACCAAGGAGGGTGTTAGGATAGCGGAGTGGGCGTCTTCGAGTGTGAAGCATCGAAAGGCTAAGAGACGGTTTTCATTTAATCCCTAAGGAATGTTTGACCTTTTCCGTTGCAGTAGAGTTAAGGCCTCGCACCCGGTGCCCTGTGCCATGGATGCACTGGCCCCAGCTGAAAGTCGATTGGCCCCTGGAGGGCCCCCTCCCCTGAGACTCACCAGTACTAAAACACATCATTGGCTAATGGTAAGGTGAATTATGACCCCTCTTAAGCCCCATCCACCTTAAAAAAAAAATCCTAAAATTTCCCCTGCTGTAAAATTTGAGCATAAAGAAATAGTCTCATATTGGGCCCCCAACCCAGGCCAGTTATGTTCCAAATTTTACTCAGGGGCCCATGGATTTACGCTATACCCCCCCCCCCCCCATCACGGTGCCCCTGCCCTCGGCAGCCTAAAGCTGCGCTTGATGTAGAAATGCCTTATCACCCATCCGATCATAAACGCAGCCTGGCTCATCAATTACACATCACATTTCTGAAATGACAAAGTGACGTTGCCCTCCAACCCCTGACCCCTGACCCCTGACGCCTCCCTACGATGCAGCCGCGGTGTCTGTATGTCAGCAGCGAACGGTTCTGAGGGCCTCGGTGCACCCCGTGAGTCCTCGGCCTCCGCCCTTGCCCTACCTCCGGGGGCAGCTGGTGCTTGGTCCCACGCAGGGAGCGGCACATGCTCAGCAGCTCGTTGCCAAGGCTATGCTCCGTGCCGCCGTTGCCCAGCGACACCATGGCGGCAGCCAGCTTTACCCAGGGGTCCTCTGCAGAGCGGGCACTGAGAAAGACGGACGTGCCGGGTCAGTGCAGGACGGACACTGTGATTAACGCCTTTGTGGGCTAACATTTTCAGAATACTGAGGAAAAATACGCTTGTTTGTTTCTTAAAGAAAGTATCTTCATTTTTTCCCCCAAGAAACGAAAAAGGCATTTTTTGGGCGGTGTCACATCGCATTAATTCTAAAAACGTGAAAGTTACTCCCAGGAATGTGCCGGTGTATGTGTGCGTGCGCGACCGTGTATGTGTGCGTGCGCGACCGTGTATGTGTGCGTGCGCGACCGTGTATGTGTGCGTGCGCGACCGTGTATGTGTGCGTGCGCGACCGTGGGCGTGACCGTGTATGTGGGCGTGACCGTGTATGTGAGCGTGCCCGTGTATGTGTGCGTGACCGTGTATGTGTGTGTGCGCGACCGTGTATGTGTGCGTGCGTGCCCGTGTATGTGTGCGTGCGTGCCCGTGTATGTGTGCGTGCGTGCCCGTGTATGCGTGCGTGCGTGCCCGTGTATGTGTGCGTGACCGT